CTTCTTCTTCTTCTTCTTCTTCTTCTTCTTCTTCTTCTTCTTCTTCTTCTTCTTCTTCTTCTTCTTCTTCTTCTTCTTCTTCTTCTTCTTCTTCTTTTTTTTTGAATGCTTCGTGATCAGTTTTTCTCAATGAATGCACCAGTGATGAAGATCTAGTATCTAGACTTGTTTTGTTTAGACGTGCGTGCTAACATCCTTGCTTCTACACGATAATTTGTGAAAATACGCATTAACGATAAAATATCTGTTTTCTGATTTAAGCGTCGGAATGCCCCGGCGCTTTGCAGGTCGATCCGGTTCTTGAAGACAAAGGTGATTGAGGTGTCCGAACACTCACGCAATCCAGATGAGGCGGTTCGACCGGAAATCTCGATGAGTCGATTATTTTGGCTCATCAGACCTTATTAATCACAAGATGTTTGTGAAACCCCACATTCTCGGACTTGGATAAACACAAGAGAATTTGTTGCTCAAGATGAGCAATTTTTTTCTTATCTCATTGCCTGAATTATTAATTCGAATGAACATGGCATGGGAATTTAAAAAAACAAAGACTAAATCTATTTTTTATTTGTCTGAATTTCACTATATTTAATTGAGTTTTTTTTTTTGAATTCAATACTCATAATTTGAATTGCTATTTGAATTATAATAATATTTTGTGTGTGAAACATATATGAGTTAATTGTAGCATATTTGCTTCTATATATCTTTGCTATAGTGTACAAATATAATATAAGAATACCAAATATTGTTAATTAATCACTAGTATTTATTTAAACTACAAAATGTTGTCTATCATCCTTGAAATTCCATTTCGCTATATAAAAATTAAGTCAACTACACAAATGATTTTATTTCTTAGAAATTGCAAGTCTGTGAGACCATGGGTTCTTGAAAAAGAACAATATACAACATTTGAATGAAAAACTAAATTGCACGTACGTCAATATGTATTTGTAAAATTCGAATTTAAAGGCAACTTTTGAATAAGAATCAAAATATTACATCCATCAGAAAATACAGAAGACACAAAATAGCATATGTATTTGACGCGGCTTTATTTGCAGCATCTAGCTAGCTAGTAAATATTAAATGATAATTAGCTATATATATATATATATGTAATGACTTTATTGCAAATTTGATCAATAGGTTGGCTTCGTGCATACGACACAAAATTATGTTGCACAATTTAGTGTAGAAAGTGCGGGCTGAATGAGAATCCTGACGATTCGAAGCGAGGCTTCTTGCGTCATATGCAAACCATCCCAGAATATGTAATTGTTTGGATTGGAGCAAACAGGCACACCCCGACTCCCACAAAACCTTCTGCTATTGTAGTTGTATTTTCCTCCAATTCCACAACAAGCTTGCAGTGTTGTGTTTCTAAACGGGCCTGTAGATTTCAAATAACATAACTAATAATAATTAGCTTACAAGAAAAATATTGAAACAATTAATTTAAGAGTGAAAATTAATTTAGAAAGATGCGCTATGAATAATAATAATAATAATAATAATAATAATAATAATAATAATAATAATAATAAAAGACAATTACTGGCCTGCTAATGTCTCGGTAACAACTTGCCGCATCCCTTCGTCCATCGGGCCATACATTATGCTAACGTCTGGGAACTCTCTGCTTAGATTTCTCATAGCTGCTTGGAGATTGTCGTTTTTATATGCGATTAGATCATTTACGCTTTTAAGACAACCCATATTATCGTAAGCGTCGGGATGATTGCTGCGCAGTGCAGTTAAGATATATGGAAAGCAACCAATTAGAGCATTTCCAGGAATTATTATATGTCTCGCACCCATGTTGATAAGCTCCTGCATGATGCATCAATATATATTCAGTTAAATTAATTTGGTTAGTGTTGAAAAGATTTTGTTTATACGTATAATTATTAAATTAATTGGAGATATATAGTAGTAC